CTCTTCAGTCACTCCCTCGCCGCCACCTTTGTTTTGCTGCTGGTGCCTCAAGGGGCAGCTGCTGCGGGAGGAGCCGTTCGGTGGCGGCGGGTGGGAGGACTAACCGCTGCAGCAAAGACCGCTGATCGTTGTGCTTCTTGCCAACCGTCCACAAGGTTGTCTTAACTGCGCTGTGCCTCCCGGCTTGGCCTTATGCATTTCTGCAAGGAGTTCCCAGGCTTTTAGTGGAGCGCTTCATGCTGCTGGTAACATCGGGAAACTGAGCGCCTCACCTACAGTATTCAGATTACCTTGAGTAACTCTTCTGCAGTTTGATGCCGTAGTATTCCACTATGCCTGAAGCCACGCTTATGTTTACAATTCCTGATTTTAAGACTAAACAAGTATTTGAGGCTATTAAGGTTATGATAGTTGGGCTCCATCTTTAAAAATATCTATGGGGGTGGGTAGGTGTGTATATCTATTAAGATTGTAGAGAAGCTGCTCACTTTGATGGCTCTTTATAATTTCCTGAATCACAGATAGCATACTTTAAGAACTGGTTGCTGGGATAGTGGAAGAGCCCAAGTTTGTGAGCTTCCCAAATATATCCAGGTTTGGTTTCTGCATGACACAGAATGTTGGTCTTGATGATCCAGCAGGATTCTTCTGTTCCTGTGCTATGTTTTAATTTCAGTACAGTAGGCTCCTTTCTTCTCTCTCTTCCTCCTCCCTTCCTCCTTTCTTTAATTTCATACAAAGCAGCTTCAGTGAGTTTCTCACCCCAGACTGTAGGCTTCGTAATTTTCAAGGAAATAAATATATAAATGAAAATCCATTGTATCAGCTCTCACTGTCGCCAGCTCAGAGAAATGAAATAAATCAAAGTTAAAAGCTTGAGTATCATTTAATTATTGTGCGAACAGCGCTTGGAAAGGAGTGGAACAACATCTCTAAACAAATTATGGCCGGGCCAGGAAGGAATTATTAGATTGAATTTCATTTAGGCTCGGGAGACACGGTGCTTCAATATGTAATCTGTTATGCCTCATCTGATTTGTATGCTTAATTCAGCTTGACGAATTTATTAGTTTTCATAATAGTAAAAAAAAAAAATGAAGCCACACTATGGGCTAATGCATTGTGTGTACTATAAATTGTATGTAACTGTTGAAAGGCTGAAGTCTATAGAAATCTTTTATTAATGACATCATAGAAAGGAAACAGATTCTTGCAAGCCTTTAAGGAGTTCATGCCAGCCCTCTGTACGGCTGTCTTGGTAGGCTATTACCATATCGTGATGCTAATTAGTCTACTTTATCAGTGATATAATTTCAAACTTTAAATTATGTTCTAATTAACAAGGGTTGTCCAATTTGCTTAATCTCCAAAAGGCTTTTGGCTTGTCTAATTAGACTAAACTACTGAGCATCTTAAAAGCCTAATAAAAATCCATAGATAATATTTTTGTATTTTCATTTTATTATATTTAAAATAATTTTAGAAGAGAGAGCTAAAAGCCAGAAGGAGAAAATAGCTAGCAGGCTCATATTTATAGTCATCAGACAGGGCAGTTGTGTATTTGGTTACAGGTTTGGAATTTTAAAGCAAATAAGAGCAATTCAGTACTTAAACTGTAGGAAACACTGAAAAATAAAAGCAAAACAATTACAATTCCCCAAATTCCCCAAAAAGATTTAAGATTAAACTTTCAAATCCCTGATGTTCCAAAATGATAATTAACAAGATGACCTGAATTTCATGCTTGTCTCTCAAATGAACTTTTGAGTTTAAATCCAGCTTTTAAAAATATTTGACCCCCTGTATTGAATTTAATTACTTGCAATAGTTGTTTTAATGCATGCTGTCACATGGGAGAACTGAGAATGCATATCGTTAATATGAATTAATCTTGATTTTAATAGCAACTGACAAGTGATCTCCAAAATGCTAAACACTTGTCACCACTTCCTACAGTAAATAAGGGATTATAATATATTCATTAAATGAAGAGTGCATTCATGATAGAAGTGGGCAAACTTTGATGCTAAATTTAGTTAAGCTTATTTAAACATCACCATCTCCATGGATTCTTCTTTTTTCAAAGGTCTGGTCAGGATGGAAACTGTTTTATTCACCTGATATTAATAGAGATTAAACTA